CCATACTGATTTCTATAGTGTTTGCACTAATTTTCATTTCCATGAACAATGTAGAAAGGTTTCTTTTTTCCCTGTAGCCTTGCCAGCATTTGTTAGTTGAGCTTTTAATGATAGCCATTTATTCTGGAGTAAGAAGAAATCTTAGTGTTACTTTCATTTGTATTGTGATGGTTAACATTTTTTCATGTACTTATTGGCCATTTGTACTTTTTCTTCTGCAAAGTGTATATTAAATTCAATTGCCCATTTTTTGATTGGGTCTTTTATTTTGTGAACTCTAATTTTTTTGAGTTCTTTGTGTATTCTAGGTATTAGTCCTCTGTCCATGGAGTAGATGGTAAAATATTCTCTCATTTTGTAGCTTGTCCTTTACTCTGTTGGTTGTTTCCTTTTCCGTGCAGAAGCTTTTTAATTTGATGTAAGCCCACTTGTTTACTCTCTGTTATTTCTTTTGCAAGTGGGATTCTGATCAGGAAGTCTTTGCCAATGACTATGTCTTCAAGAGTTTTATCTATTTTATCTTCCAGGGGATTATTTGTTTCAATACTGTACGTAACTCTTTGATCCCTTTTCATTTCATTTCAGTGCATGGTTGGAGATACGGGTCTAGATTCAGTCTTCTGTATGTGGATGACCAGTTTTCCTGGCAACATTTGTTGAAGAGGTTATTTTTTTCCAGCTTATGTTTTTGGTCCCTTCATCAAAGATCAGATATTGAAGTGTTCCTGGGTCTGTTTCTACAACCTTTGTTCTGTTCTACTCAACCACATGTCTGTTTTGTGCCAGTTCCATGTTATTTTTATTATTGTAGGTTGGTAATATAGTTTGAGATCTGGGATTATGATGCCTCTTGCTTTGCTCTTGTTGCTCAGGATTACTTTTGCTATTATAAGTTTCTTCTGGGTCCATATAAATTTTAGGATTGTTTTTGCTAGTTCTGTGTAGAACACTGTTGGTCTTTTGATTTGGATTGCATTAAATCTATAAATAAGGCTTTGTTAACATGGCCTCAGGATGGATCATCTTAATTGGTTTATCTTCAGTGTGCTGATTTTTCTTCTGCCAATGCAAATCATCAGGACTTGTTTCATAGTCTGGAAATGGCTTAGTTTGGTCAGTGTCCTGAGTGAACTTGAAAAGACTGTGCACTGTGTTCTTGGGTGGAGTGTTCTTCAAATGTCAACAGAATCAAATTGATGAATGATTTTCAAGTCTTCCACTTGTTTGCTGATGTTCTGTCTACATGTTTCATCATTTGCTGAGAGAAAAGCATTGATATCTCCAGTGATAATTGTAGATTTGTCTATTTCTCCTTTCATGTCCATCAATTTTTATTTCATGTATTTTGAATTACTTTCATTAAGTGCATAAAATTTACATTCCTGATGCTCTCTTATTGACTTGATACTTTCATTATTACAAAACACTCTTCTTTGTCCCTGTAATATTCCTTGTTCTGAAGTTTCCTTTATCTTTTTTTAAAAGACAGGATCTCACTATGTAGCTCAGGCTGGACTTGAACTCGCTATGTACCTCACCAGGCTGGCTTCAAGCTCATGGCAATCCTCTTGCCTTAGCCTCCTGAGTGCTGGGATACAGGTGTGCACCACCACACCCTGTCTGCTATTAATAGAGCCACTTTCAGCTTTCTTTTGGTTACTATTTGCACTGATAAAACTTTTCCCATTGATTTTCTTCATATTTAATGGGAGGTTCCTTTTGCTGTTGTTTATTTGTTTGTTTTTGTTTTTTTCTGAGACAAGGTCTCACTATGTAGTACAGGCTGCCCTTCAACTCACTTATGTAGCCCAGGCTAGCCTTGAACTCACAGCAATCTTTCTGCCTCAGCCTCCTGAGTGCTGGGATTTAAAGTGGGGTTCTTTATCCTTGCAGATAACAGATAGTAGAACCTTATGTTTTCATCCATGTGATAATCTCTGCTTTATAATTGAAATGTTCATCCCTTCTTCTTAGTGTGATAAAGGGAGAGAAAACCAGAAATCAGGTCTACTGTTTTTTATAAAGCTATTTCATTCAAAAGCATCTCTCCCTGGGACCAAGATGAGTAACAGAGGCACAAGAGAGGCAGTAGAGTCTCCTCTTATGCTTTTCTAAATTCTTGTAGTCAGGAGAGCCCAGGTAAACTATATACCAACTATATGGGTAGGGAGAAGAGAGGCCCCATTGGTGGCTTATTCTGATATGGATCAGATGGGCCAAATTTAGGAAACAAAAAACCAGGGGTGGTGGAGTGAGGTGGGGATATGAGGAGGCAGCAAAGGAGGCCCATAGATTTGGGTCAGAACATATTTTTAGATTTTTTTTTTTTTAAAACGCAGTTGAAGGGCCAGGGAGATAGCTCAGCAGCACAGCACCTGCCTGACAAGCTGCTGAGCTCTCTCCCTGGCCCTTCAACTGTTTTTTTTTGTTTTTAAAATCTTATTTATACCACTAATCCATTTCTTTTTTACGGCTCAGGAGTATTCCACTGTCAGACATCTTGAATGCATGTCCATGATCTATGCTTCCTAGTCATTTGACCATATGTAATCCAAATAATGTCTAAAAGCTTTATCCATAGTGTGTTATTTTAGGGAGAACACAGACAATGTCAACTCTATATGTGTGTAGTAGGAAATCAGGCCATTCTTGATATCAAGGTACGAACTCTTTTCAGAATCTGATTTTAAAAAATTATGAGCTCTTTGCAGAAAATGCCCCATACAGAATAGAGAGAAAACCCCTCAAATCTGACTCATTGACCTTAGTTTTAAGAATCTTGAGATATCGATATCAGTAAGCAAAAAGAAAATATAAATGCCTGATTTATTTGCATAACAATAATGCTAGTTATGGTTACTTATACAAATAGCTTATATTTCCACGCCATATGTATAACTATTTTACATACAATTATGTGAGACTGACTTTGGCGTAAGTTTGATTTGGATGTAAAACTATAAATTGTTGATGCAGGCTTCACCTTTGTCATTTTTTTGTTCACATGAAAGTTGTTTTTTTCATAATTTTAAAAGGAAAAAATGTAATGGTCTTTTTTTTTTTTAGGGAGCTACTATTTTGCCTGTGTAGTTTCATTTGTTCAAATAATTATTCCTTAGATTGGAAATAGTGTGTTCTTATGGAATAAATCGTGAGGCTGAGTCAGAAGGGAAGTGCTTGGTTTCAAAAGACAGGCAAATCTGACTGGGTTGGAATTCCAGTGTTTTTACCACTTATAATTAGACTACAGCCTTAGCAAGCCCTTTAATCCCTGGCCTTCACTAACTTCATCTGTTAAATGGGAATAAATATACCTAGAGTGGTTTCTGTGAGAAATAAGGTTAATGCAAAGTGCCCACGTTGTATTAGATTCTAAATAACTGGTACTATTTATGGTGAGACCTTGGTGTTAAACACTAGTGGCCAAGATCCCCAGGGCTCCTAATGTCACATAATCAAACTGGCATGTGATTCCCGAATGCACAAGACAATTACTTACTCTGCTCAGGCATAGCAAAAGGCAAAAGCTGACAGATGTTGACATTCCGAAGGTGCCAGGGTGCCAGACTTGGGGTTATGTTGTATCCTTCCTTTGACAGTCAGTACAGGGAAGCATGACTTCTGAATGTCACATTGTTGGCATTTCAGGTGGCCAGTGTAGTATCTATATTGGTTTAATATTCCAAAACTAACACACCCATGGGGAGAGCCAGTTCGTAAAATCATCTTTTCCTTCCGAATGGCCGGCTTCCTTGTTTGTACTGTGGGCTTCCTTGTTTTTTCTTTCTCTGGCTCAGTGAATACCAACAGAACGACTAATAAAGCTGACACATTTATTTTCTTCCAAGCATATGTTTTCGTGTCTGCATGCCACCACCTTCCCTGCTTCCTTTGAGAATAATGGATGCATTCTTTCAGCCAGGTCCGCCGATTTTCAGGCCAAACTTTTCACGCGTGCTCAGTGGGAGGTAGTGTAGCACAGTGGAAAAAGAGGGCAAAGACTCAGACTCCTGGGTGTGGACCCTGGTCACTATTTCCTCCTTTGTACAGCGCATCAAAATCTTGCCTTGGGTGTGACTGAGCTTTGTTCACACACACGGCAAGCGGTAATCCGCAGAGCTGCGGCGAGAGAGCACTTGAGCTCACTAGCGCTCTCTGCCTGGGATGCATCGGGCACTGGTGGACAGAGCTGCAACTGCGGAATGCGTGCGCAGCGCCTCCGCCCCCTCGCGAACCCCGCGTCTCCGTTGCCAGGGGAACTGGGGGGGTCGGTGCGCTTTCCGGCGCTATTGCGACGCGTCGCAGCAGTCATGGCGGGGACTGTCTGGAATACTGACACTGGAGAAGCTGTGTATCGTTCCCGGGACCCCGTGCGCAACTTGCGCCTCCGGTAGAAATGCTCGGGCCCCATGATTTTCTGCTCTCAGATAAATCGAACCTAAACTTTTCGGTGTTCCGAGGTCGCCCACTCCCGCTTGCAATGGGGACTAGTTTCCTCCCGCTCGCCTCACATCTCCGCGCCCTATCAGGACCTCTCTTCGCTCACAGCTTCTAAGCCTACCTTCCAGTCCTTTCAAGTCCTTGTTGCCCCCGCAGTCCGTCAGAATCCTGTGCCCCCAGCACATCATTTTACTCTTAATTTCCTGGTGGGACCCTGCGCCCCACCCATCTCTCAGTTGTGTGCACCCAGCACCCTTGACAACTCCACCTCTGGGCTTAGTTTGTCCAACCGTGCTGTGTTCATCTCCAGGTTGTGTATGTAATGCATATTTTGGGCTTCTCTTTTCTTGACAGAGTGCATCTGCAAAGAATCACATCAAGCAGCTTTCTTCATTACCAGCCTGTTGTCCAGCCCGGGAAGGACCTTATAGACTTAGGCACTTTTACACCGCACCCAATTGCCAGTGGGTGTCACCATGGTGATGCGGCCCCTTGGGGATTCGGGGAAGGGTCTGGGGAAGGAGAGGTACCTCTTGAAACAGTAGATCCAGGCTTGTAATCTTAACAGAAACCTGCACTTTTTACAGAGGAACAGAACAGAAGACTTTTTAAAGAGGTTGAGTTAGTTTCTTGATTAGTGTCACACAGTTGGTAAGTGAACCCAGAGGCCAGGTTTTGAATCGAGAAAATCTATACTGCTACATTGTATTATATCTGAAAATTGAATAAGACTGATCTCTGCCATCCCAATATGGATTCAATTTGTAGTCAAATGTAGTGAAATAGCAAATAACAAATATCATGCTTTTGATGTGTTATAGATTTGCCTGGCAACCTAAATACCATTTGTGACATTTTCTTTTTTTGTCCAAAAGGAAATGTGCTCCACACTAAATACACATGTAGACACTTTTATAAGCAATTTTTAAATTGGAGACGTCTTGAAAAATGTACATATGAACATCAGCTGTGTTCTTGTGATTTTCCTTGTCTGGAAAGCCAGAGGGTGAAGAAGAGAGGACAGGGTGCTTGCCTTAGGTTGCTAGTCTTCTGCTTTTGTTGTTTTTATTTTTATTCAGAAATGGCCCTGCACTTGGCTGGCATTGTGATGTACAAAAGTTCTAGCCCAGCCTGGGCAACTTAGTGAATAATTGAGACCCTGTCACAAAATTTCTAAAGGAGGTGGCCTGGGGGTGTAGTTCAGTGTGAAGGCTCTGTGTTTAATTCCCAGTACTGAAAGGAAAAGTTCCTGGGTAAGAATGTGGGCTGATGGATTATGAAGCATGTGTTTCTTAAAAATGGCACACTTTTCCAGAAGCATATTGGATTTGATTCTTTAAAAAATCATTTATTTGCCTCCCCTGTCTTCTCCTAATGCTTGGTCTCCTAAGTTACAAGGTTTATGATTCTATATGTGGATTTAGAAATAGTCAGATAAAAAAAGCCAGGGCTCTTATCTAGCAAATGCAGTCAATTAGGATTGAGGAAGGACAAGCTCTTGTCTGTACTAAATTTCTGTTCCTGATACTGAATTTGATAAAATATTTCCTGGAAGGCAGTACCGCCTTTTATTCATATTAAAGTGATGATTAAGACTTCTTGAGTCCAGGTCTTGGCTTCTGCTCCTACTAACCAGAATATATCCACAAATTTTGTGGCCTTTTTCTAGATTGAGTGCTTAATAAACTACTGAACTCCAAGAGTTTTGTAGCAAATGCAAGAGTAGGGACTTTGGTTATCACCAACCACAGAGCAAGAAGTGGTGCTGGCTTATCTCAGGTGTTTGACTCACTTTGTTGTCTTTGGAGGTGGACACCGCCCAGATGAAGAGGAAGATGAAGAGGTCGAGATTGGGTGGCAGGAGAAGCTCTTTAGCCAGGTAAGACAGTGTTACTTGTCTGCTCAGACTCTTTCTGCTTGGTCCACCTCCACCTGGCTGGTGATGCATATTGCCAGACTGATTTCTAGAACCTTTATGGCACATCTGATCTCTGGGCTGTATGCCATCCATAACAGCCCAATTGGATTAAACCATCACTCTGACTCCTTTTAGCTGTAAAGTTCTTGTATCCCCTGCCCTCCATTATTTAGATAAATGAGAGTTGCTTATGAAAATATATTAAATAGCATCAGTTTTATAGAAGTGATTTGATTGAATGAAGGAGAGGTTGATATAGTTACAGTAGATCTGTTTCCTTGTGGTGACCTCAGTTTGAAGTAGATTTGTACCAGAATGAAGCAGCCTGTCAGAGTCCTTTGGATTATCAGTACCGTCAAGAGATCCTGAAGCTGGAGAGTTCTGGTGGCAGGAAGAACCGACGAATCTTTACCTACACTGACTCTGACAGATACACCAACTTGGAGGAGGTATTGTTCTTTCCAAGATGCCATAGCTTCTTTCTTCTTTGCCTCCCCTAGTTTTCTGATCTCATTGGTTCTGTGTGTTACACTGAAAGTGTGAAGCAAGGACAGGTACAGTTTGATCTCATTGGTTCTGTGTGTTACATTGAAAACGTGAAGCAAGGACAGTTTCTTAGAACCTGTCTAGAAACTGCTGTGAGCTGCCTGCAGGCAGCCAGGCTAGAATAGATTGGGCACAGGTAGTATGGCAGCTGCTCTTTGCTTTGCCTGCTGGGGGAGCTGGAAGTGTGCAAAATGGTAAGGTAGGTGTACAGAGTTTAGAACAGTCTAGATAAAATTCAGCCAAAACTTTGAGTGTACGGTTTGAAGAATATGGTTCATCCATGGTGAATGGCTTATATCCTCAATTTGCCTATGCTCACGTTCCCTTTTGGACTTGCTTTATGTTCTTTTCAGTCATTGTATATATTCTGTCTTCTCAGTGAGATTTTAAACTCCTTGCATATAGAGCCCATATCTTCAGATTTTTTTTTTTTTTTTTTTTTTCTGTGACCTTGTAGATAGCTGTAGAGAGGCCCTATTGAGCACCTGGTTTTGAAAGTTTGGTGTGTGTTCTTCAGGAAAGCTTTGGGCTGGTAGCATATAAAATTTTAGTTGTCTGTTTTAGAAAAACAAATAAAAATACAGTTAGTGTTCAGTTATCCATGTGAGAATTTTCCACAGAGTATTCCATTTGGGACTTTTCTACTTACTAGCTAATATCAATATCAACAGGCAAATGAATCCAACTTTTTGTAGAGTTGTGCGTGGGGAATGCAGACCGATTCTGATATTTGCATAAAAAACTCATTCCTAGACTGCTAGGACAAACTAAGACACAGTAGGAGTCCTCTTTGGGCTGTTTGTCTGTTCTTCCCTCCAGTAGCCTGTGTAACTTCGATATGACCATACCTGTTAGATTCCAGAAGGAAGATTTCTCTTCAGGTGTGTGGCCCTGTGTGGCCCTGACCAGACAGCTTTCACAGGAGTATTGTCTTTTCCCAGCACTGTCAGAAAATGACCACTGCAGCCAATGAGGTGCCTTCATTTTTGGTCGAGCGCATGGCAAATGTTAGGCGGCGACGGCAGGATAGGCGAGGAACGTGAGTTGAAATAGGGGGGTGGAGAGAGGCTTTGTGGTTCTCCCATGCATTGCCCCATTGACTCAGCTTCCCCTTCTGCTGTGGACCGCCACAGAGGTGTGTTCCCCTAGGCCAATGGTGGCGAAGCTATGGCGTGTATGCCACAGTGGGTTGTTTGTTATCATTAAAAGGTTTGCCATCAGTGCCTAGGCTCCCCCCAGGCTCTTATGGGGGTTCCAGGGAAGTGACTTTCTTGTGGCCCTTTCCCAGGGAGGGCAGCATCCTCAAGTCACGCATCATCACCTGGGAACCTTCAGAAGAGTTCATCAAGAGCAACCATGTCATTAACACCCCTCTTCAGACAATGTACATCATGGCAGACCTGGGGCCCTATGGAAAGTAAGTGAAGCTTCTCACTGCCAGCTCAGAGGCTCATCCTCTTCTGTCACCTTCTTGTTATCGTATCAGGGGTCTATGGGAAGGGAGGGTCTTCTTCTTCTTCACTGTACTTAGAAGAAAGTGTTTTACCACAATAGTTCTCCAGTAGTTCCTCCTCTGGCCTCTTCCTGAAGTGGGCTGACTTTTCTTTCCTTGGAGGTGGCACAAGGGATACTGAAACTTGATGTTGATTTCCTGCTTTGTAGGCTTGGCTATAAGACCTATGAACATGTGCTCTGTATTCTGAAAGTGGACAGCAATGGTGTGCTCACAGTAAAACCTGACTTCTCTGGCCTCAAAGGACCCTACAGGTGATGAGAGGAAAAAAGGGGATGGAAGGGATGGAGATTGGCATTCCTTCCCTGGCTGTCCTTCTTGTCCCTAGTCAAGGAGAGTCCCAGGAAACTCCTCATCTGTTCCAACTTTTAAATTCCCAGGCTACAGTACATACTTTCTTCTGGGTCATAGTCCCTTAGGAGACGGTCAGGATCACTTCAGCTGCAGCAGAGTTAAGTGAAAATGATCGTCTGCACTGCTGAATGTAGGAACTGAACAGGACCAGGTGAACTAAGCCAGGCTGGGTGGACTGTTCTTTATCTCTCTGTCTGAGATAACAGAACTCTAAGTTAGATATTAGAAGGCCCAACGTGCCCATTTTCCAGGTGAGAGAACTGGGTGCTAAGGATGTTATGCTTTAGATTCTCACTGTGATGTTGAGGTAGAAATGGGCCCAAGACTTATACTCTCTGAGTCTATAATCTGATGCCCTTCCTGCTTTGCCACTGTGTTTCCCCCTCCTGGTCATCCTTCTGGCCACCTTCATCATATACTTCAAGTGAGGTGTGTAGCCCCTGATGGCTCATCCTGGGCTGGATCTGGAGGACCCACTGTTATCATCAGAGGCAATCCTTTTGTGGCTTTACCTTACAGAATCGAGACCGAGGGTGAGAAGCAGGAGCTATGGAAGTATACGATTGACAATGCATCCTCCCTCGCACAGCCAGAGGAGGAGGAGCGGGAACGGCGTGTGTTCAAGGATGTAAGAGCCAATTCTTTCCACATCCCACAGGCAAGGCAGCCAATGCGTGGGAGCTGAGCCCATGCCTGAGGCTGATGTCTGCACGTTCTGGGCAAGCTCCTGCTCCTCACGGCCCTCTTTTGAGCAGGAAAGCATAGCGGACAGAACACGCAGTTTTTGGTTGTATTGTAATAACGTATTGGAATAATAGTGGCCGTTTATTTGAGCACTTACTGTGCTCTCTGCTGGGTACTTCACACACATTTTATTTAGACCTTGTGATAACCCTTCAAGGTGGGCACTTTTTTGGTATGTGTGGTACTGGGGATTGAACCCAGGGCTTTGTGTTACTCAGGCTGGCCCTGAACAATATAGGGCCTCGTATGAGGCAAACACTTTTATTATCATTTTATTTTATTTTATTTTTTTTGGTTTTTCTCTGGTACCGGGAACTGAACTCATGACATTGCGCTTGCCAGGCAGGCGCTTTGCCGCTGAGCTAAATCCCCAGCCCCTGTTATCATTTTAAAAAGAGCCAGGATTCAACCCCCGAAGAGCTGACTCCAGAGCCCCTGTGTTTTACATTATTATTATCATCATCATCCTCATCATCACTGGAAACTGAATCAAAGGCCTTCACACTAAGCATCCCCAGACCATTTTAAAATATTTTATTTTGTTTTATTTTTTATATTTTACTTTGCTAAGTTGCCCAGGCTTGGCTTAGACTTGGGATCAGTCCTCCTGCCTCAGCCTCCCAGAGTGCTGAGACTATAGAAATGTGCCAGCATGTCCATCTTGTAGTTCACTTTAAAGTGTGAGTGGCCGGGATGGCTCATCCTGGGCTGGATCTGGAGAACCTCAGATCCAAACCTAGCTCTTCTTGTTTTTTTTCCATTATTGCTGCTTCCTTCCACTCAGAGCTGAACACCTTTATTTTTTTTCTAAGTTTGTTTTGTTTTTTGTTGTTGTTGTTTTTAAAGTTAATTTTATTGTTACAGTTTTAATATATATATAATGATCATGTTCATCATAGGGAATTTGTACCTGTACATAATATGTCTGATTCTCCTTTTTTCCCTGTTCCCCTCCCCTTCAACCCATCTTCCCCTTCTTATTTACAAAAGCTTTGTTTCCATCTATCCTTTTTTTTTCCTTTTCCATTCCTCCCCTTCCTCCTTCTCCTCCCTTGTTTTTCTTTCCATTTGAACATTTTCTTCCTATTTCCCAATATCTATCATCCATTTTAGTCCTTATTTATCCTTTCAGTTTCTAACACAAGAGAAACATTACAATATTTAAACACGTGTGTCCAATTTCACTTAGAAGTATGGTCTTAAGGTGCATCCATTTACCTAAAAATGTCTCAAGTTTATCCTACTTTATGGCAGAGTAGTACTCCATTGTATGTAAAAACCACATTTTTTTTTGTCCTTTCATCCATTCAGCTATTAAAAATTGTGCTGCTATAAACATGGGTGTGCATATATCACTGTTGTATGATGCCTTTACCTCTTTCAAGACGATAGCTAGAAGGGGAACAGCTGGGTCAAGTGGAACCTCTAGTTTGAGTTTTTTGAGGAATCTCGGCTGCATCCTGAGGGTTGGTTTCCTTTGTTTCCTCAGCTTTATGGCCGACACAAGGAGTATCTCAGCAGCCTCGTGGGCACGGACTTTGAGATGGTGCGTAGTTGGCTTCCTGCAGCCCTGGCAGCTGTGTTTAGCCAGAGCATTCTGACTTTGGATGACCAATAGTGCCTCCCTCCTAAAGGTCCCCAAGACAAACTGCTGTCTGAAAAAGAAGTTGGAGAGTAGCCTAGACAGCAGAGTCCTGGTTTTGTGTCATAAGACACAGCGTATCTATAGAGGACTGTTACCACTTAGAGAAGGGTCCAAAAGGGTGCACAGGCGCTGCAGTGGCTTTCTCCGGGGATAGGGTGGGGTCTGGAGCTTAGGGATGGGTACTGGGTGGTGAGAAGACTATGTCAGGAGCTTTCACTTTTTATTCCCAAAATTTAGGTGGTTTGGAATTTCCATTAATGATAATACTATATATTCATATATGACTTTATAGTTAACTTTAAAAATTAACATAAAGATGAAAAATACTTTCCTCACTCTTCATGTGGAGATTTTTCCAAAGTGCCCCATAGAGAGAAAATGGGTAGTATTTCTGCTTGTCAAATAGTTTGACTTTTTTTTTTTTCCAGTACTGGGGATTAAACTGAGGGCCTTTGTACTAAGCAACAGCCCCAGCCCTGTTTTATTTATTTTTAAATTTTTTGACACATAGTCTTTCTAAGTTGCCCAAGCTGGGTTGAAACCTGTGATCCTCCTGCCTTAGCCTCCCAGAGTGCTGGGATCACAGGCATGCACCATCAAGGCTGGCTAATATTTTGGATCTTGAAAACAAAAACCAAACCAACAGTTTAGGTCTGTTATGTTGGAGTTCTGTTCCGTGTCTTCCCTTATGCCAGGAGTTTCATTTCTAGATCTGCAAACAAGGGTGGAACTACCTATGTGTTTTCTTCTGTCTCTAAAGAATTAACTTATTTTTATATTATATAAGCAATAGATAATCACATTAAAAAGTTAGATAAGACAAATACACAACTAATTAGAAAAGAATACCCTTAGGTTCGTGGCCTCAGCCGTGTAAAGGGTTTAGGGTCCATTGCACTCTGAGGGGTGCTGTTATTGCTTTCTTTGGTTATTTCCCAGACTGCACTGCGCTCCCTGCCATTTAACTTGTGTACTTTCCCCTGTAGATTTTAGAAATGAAGGGAACAGTCCTGTGCTGAAGAGTTAGGGTGGCAAGAAAGTGCTAAAGCGTGGCCCAGGGTCCAGCATCCTGCATCAGATCTTCCGCAGATCTGTGGGTGGGGCTGGAGGAGAATTGCTGATCCCCTCAAGGACCCCTGATCTTTCCCCACTTCTTTCTACCTTAGACAGCCCCGGGTGCCCTCCGGCTCTTTGTAAATGGAGAGGTAGGTAAGTGTCCTGCCAGACGGATCTCTTCATGCATGGGCGAGTGTCTGACGAAGCTGTGAGTAACCTACCACACCCCATGTTATGCCACAGCCTGGCCTGTCTGCAGTATGGGCAACTTAGGATGAGTTTGTCCTGGAAATGGAGTGTTCCAGGCCCACAAGTGACCTGTTTCCAGAGCATGTAGGACTGGGCTGGGTACTAAGGATTAGGAGAATAAGCTAAAGTAATATGTTGTCTCTTTCAGTTTCAGCCCAAGGCTATGAGTATGACAATCTCTACATCCATTTCTTTGTGGAATTGCCAGCTGCTAGTAAGTAACATTCTTAGGTCTCTCCTTTTATCCCTATTCAACTGTTCTAGAGGCTTCCGCCAGGCTTCCATCCCTGCTTCTCAACTGAAGCTGATACTGTTCTTTTCAAGGACGTAAATCACTTTCACATTGCCAAACTCGGTGGTGACTTCTTTGCTTTCCCCTACTTGGCCTCTCTGAAGCCTATGACACAGCTCACTTGTCTTCGTTTCCCTTGCTTCTGGTGCCACACTGCTGTCCTCTGTCTCGCTGGGCCCTGTGAGGCTCCTTGGCTGATTCCTTCCTTTCTGTTGACCTTAAACTGCACATGTCCAAGGCTGAGCCTAGGCCCCTGTTACTCTCTCCTTACTGTCTTCATAGGCAGCCACACCCGTCCCATAGCTTACATTTCATCTGCATATCTCAGACTCCCAGATTCCTCTCCATCCTTTGCCTCACCCCAAACTCCAGTTACCTCTTTGCAATTTCCATGTAACATGACCGTCCTCCCTCAAACCTCCGTTCCCTGGTCTTTCCCATTCTAACACAATGGCAGTGTCACCCACTTAGTTGCTGAGGCCACAACCCTAGGATATATCCACAATTGCTTGCTTTCTCCCTTTATCTCCCTGTAGTCATCAGGCCGTTATCTCTTGCCTGGGCGAGTGCGTTAAGTTCCTGACTTAGCCTCTTCCTGCCTGTCTTGCTCCCCCATGGTAGCTTCTTTGCCACACATAGCAACATTGTGTTATTAAAAATGCTATGCAGCTTTGTCTTGTTTGAGCTGAAAACCCTGACAGCATCCCCTCACACTTAGCGGGAGCGCTAAACCCCACACCCTTAGTGAGCGGTTCCTGCTTCTCTCTCCCCTACAGCATTCCAGTTACTCTTCCTGCTCTTGACATTGCCAATGTCATTCCTGCTTTAGGCCTTTACAGGACCATGTGTGGACCTTTTCCTCCATATCTTTGCTTGGCTGGTTCTTCTTCAGTTTAGGTTTCAGCTTGTTTCATTTCTTAGAGGCACCACACTGAATGAACCTCCAAGTCAGAGTCCCACCACCTTGTTCTGTATTTAGTATAGCACTTACTGTCACCTTGTTGGTCTTGTGTGTCTCTCCTTCCATGTTCACTCTAGGATGTGAGCTTCATGGGAGATAGGGATCTTTCTTATCTACCCACCAAGATGTCTCCAAGTCATCTTAGCAAGAAGCAGACACTCAGGAACTGATAAATGCATGGCTCACTGTGTGAATGAGTGAATGAGTGAATGAATGAATGAAGGAAGGAAGGAAGGAAGGAAGGAACTTCATCTTTTTCTTCATGACTTGGCCGCCTCCCAGGTGAACTTACTGTATTTGGTATTTGGCTTTCAGACTGGTCAAGCCCAGAATTCCATCAGCTCTCAGGAGTAACTCAGACCTGTGCCACGAAGTCCCTGGGAAGGGTATGGAGAACCAGAGTTCCCTGGCAGAGAATGAGAATTAGTTCCTGGGCTGGCATTTGAAGCTTGATCAGGTCAACTGCTGTGTACTGTGGGAAGGAGCCCAGCGTGGGCCTGACACTTCCGTGTGGGCTCTTCAGGGGCTGCCTGGGCCTGGGGCCTCCTCCGTCTTTTTGAGAAGGGTGGCAGTTTGTATTTGGCTGTCTCTTTGACTCCGCTTCTTTCTTGTTTCCCACCAGCATGGTAATTTTTATTTTTCCTGTGTGAATGTGACCCTGTCATTAGCCACAAGGATAACAAATTCCAAGTGAGGCCTTGCCCACCTTCTGACATTGAGTATAAAGTGACACTCTTCTTTTTCAGAACAAGGTAGCTTACTTCTCCTACCCATTCACATTTGAAGCATTCTTTCTCCATGAGGACGAATCAGCTGGTAAGTAGGGCAGCAGTTGATCCTGGGCCACTGTTCTCCTCGGCCTATGGCCTGTACTGGCCAAGGCTTCCTGTGAGTTGGCTGCTTCTCTCCCTTGTTTCCAGACGCCCTCCCAGAGTGGCCTGTGCTCTACTGTGAGGTCCGCTCCCTGGACTTCTGGCAGAGGTACCGTGTGGAAGGCTACGGGGCTGTGGTGCTGCCTGCCACTCCAGGTAACCTCTTGTCTCTGCCCTCCAAATGACCCATGTGTCTTCGGTCCTAGGAATGAGACTAATGTTCGCAGATTTGAATGCTTCTGGTGAGAGGTAGGGATAACTGGGGATTAGAAGCATTTAACTTAAGATGTTCTTCTGAGGAATCTCTCCCTGCTCCATTAGAGACGAATAATGAAAATTAGGTGTGACATTGGAATCGACTTCCTGAAACAGGCAACATGATGGTCTCCTCTGATTGGATTTATGACCTTGTCAGAGAAGCTGCGTGATAGCTAATTGGGTTCTTGGCATATGTGGATGGATTGAATCTTCATTCACTTTTAAAATAAAAGCAGTGGCCTCTTTCTGAGTGCCTGGCATCGTGCTAAATGCTTCTCTTCTAATTCTCCAACCCCCCTGTGAGGTATAAGTGGTGGGGATATTTTCATTGCATGGATTGAGGAGAAGAAGGCTCAGGGAGGTTAAAAAAACTTGTCCTGGGCATACAGGTGGTCCCCGGAAGAGCTGGGATTTAAATTTTTTTCTGACTGATTTCCGAACAGGTGTTCTTAACCACCAGGATTACCTTCCCCGGTGTGGTCATTGCTGAGGAGTCAGTGAGGGGCCGGGTGCCCTTTGTAGCCCCAGTCCCATTCTCCTCTCCCCTCACACAGGCGCACACACCCTGACAGTGTCCACGTGGAGGCCCATGGAGCTCAGCCCCGTGGCTGAGCTGAGGAGGTTCTTCATTGGTGGCTCTCTAGAGCTGGAGGACCTCACCTATGTGCGGATACCAGGAACCTTCAAGGTGACTTTTCTCCAGGGCGGCTTCATGTTGGGACCTTTGTTTCTGTTTTTTTCTGTTTTAGAGGTGGGTTCTGGGTTGAGGCCTCTCCCTTAGTTGCTCACTACCTCGGTGTTCCTAAGCCACTTCCTTTTATGGCTTCATTTTGAACTGGATGTAGATTTCCACACTGCTATCCTAGGAGGTCTCTGGAAAATAGTATACATGGAGATTCTTCCTGGTGCCCATCGGAGTGGTGGGCCCCTTCTTCCTTTACTGAAGGCCTCAGTGATCACATGCAGGGAGGATTTGCGGGAAGCACGTAGCCTGCTTGTTCTTAGATGAGGTTGGAAGTTCCCTGAGTGATAGTGGGGAGCCCAGAGCTGGGACGGGAGTGATGGGGTCTGGATGGTGGAATGAGGTTTTCCCTGGATAACTGCTGCCCCTCGAGAATGGAATAAGAATGGCAGCGAGGTCAGCGACCCTGGGGCGAGTGTCACGTGGGGTACAGAGGCAGCAAAAGCTGATGCTGTCTCCGCTGATGCAGGGGGAGCGCCTCAGCCGCTTTGGACTCCGCACAGAGACCACGGGCAGTGTCACCTTCCGCCTGCACTGTCTGCAGCAGTCCAGGTGAGCTGTCCTGGCCCTGTGTCTTGGACTTCTCAGCCCTAAGGGTTAAAGAGCAGCCGTGACCGTGTGATGGGCTTCCCCGCAGGGCCTTCATGGAGTCGAGCTCCCTGCAGAAACGGATGCGGAGTGTGTTGGACCGTTTGGAAGGATTCAGCCAGCAGAGTTCCATTCACAATGTGCTAGGTAGGTTCCCCTGCCCAGCTGGCCACCCAGGACCTCTCCGCACTATAGCTGCTGATTACACGGCAGCATCTTCTTCCCTTGCAGAGGCCTTCAACCGAGCCCGGCGTCGCATGCAGGAGGCCCGAGACAGCCTCCCCCAGGACCTAGTGAGCCCCTTGGGAACCTCGGTCTCCTAGCTGTCTTTGGCCCTGGCCTGTGACACAAGGGGGAAAGACGAGGGATGTCAGCCCTGTGCCCTGCTGGCTCTTCATCTTTCTTCTCAAAGACCACATTGGCCTGCTGAGGACCAGAAGCACTGGAAGTTCGCAGGCTGGCCCCTCTGCTGGACTTCCAGCCGTGTCTTCTTCCTGCCGGGTGGGAACAAAGCCAGAGACGCTATGGCCCCACGTGGCCCCTCTTCATATTTCAGCTACTGTAAGGAGTGGCACAGCAAGGCAGGACTTTTGGCTGAAACTGATTTCACAGGTGAACTCCTAATTAGCCTGTCCTTGACACAGCCTCTCTTCTGGCTTGTCTCAGTCTCAGCTGCAGAGAGCTGCCTATTTCACAGCCTATAAAAATGGAACTTGCAGCTGGGCATGGTGGCACACACCTGTAATCCCAGCACTTGGGAGGCTGAGGCAGGAGGATTACTGTGAGTTTGAGGCCAGCCTGAGCTATAAAGTGAGTGCAAGGCCAGTTTGAACTGCATAGTAAAACCCTGTCTCAAAAAGTAAAAAAGAAAAAAAAAAAAAAGTCCTTGCCTTCTAAGAAAGGAGGCGCATGGGAGATCTAAGACCCTGGCCTGTGAGTCATAGCCCCATCTTTCAGGGCAGCCTCACTGTACTGCTTAGTGCTGGCTGACTTTGACAGAGGACTTATCTCTGGGATGAAAGGAGGTGAAGGTAATTCTCAGTTCTTTTTGCTAGCTGTACAGTATCTTTTTCTGTGTGTTTTGCACATAAATCTATTTATATATTGACACATTCTGTGGACTGTTTCTCTGCTCAGGTTGCTGGCCTAGCTCAGGTACCTCTTCACGTTGGGCCCGTAACACCTCTGCCCTTCCTCTTTTCTGTCTCTCCGTCCTCCAGGGGGTTTCTCTGGTTCTTTCAATTCAGCCCCCAGAAGAGACACAGAATGCCAACTCGTGTCATAGCAGCACTGCTCTGCGACATCTGGAGCAAAGCATGGGCCTGAGGCTGCCTGCTCCCTCGCCCGACATAGACACAGCATCCCCTGCCCTCAGCAGTGCTTTATTGGTAGAAAGAGCTTGCTCCCAGCCTACAGGCTCAGGGTTGTGGGTGGCGAGACTGGACTATGTGGCCTTCTAGTGGTGGTGGTAATGGTAGGGAAATAGAAGAAAGTGCTGGCAGCCCTTTGGTTGACTCTTGCTGGAACCTCAAGGTCTCCTGGCTTGGCTCACTAGTCTTTGCCTCTGGTGCTAATTCATAACCTAATCTTAGGAGGCTCGCAAGGGGGGTGGGTCCGTTGCTGCTAGGAGCCCTAGCTTTTGCTCTCAGCCGATGAAGCCAGCAGTGAGTTGCAGTCAGCAAAAGTGCCAGCAGGAAATAGTTGCTCCTGAAGTGAAGGCAGCCTCATGGTCTTCCCCTTCCCCTCGTTTCGGGGCTTGGCACAGACTCCTGTGGAAATAGCAGAAGTGGATAAGCGAGGGACTTGCTGGATATCCGGAAATGGAACCGTTGGGCACTAGTGACCAAGTTGTAAGGGTAGCCGGACACTTTCTAATTGTCCCCCACAGTCCTAGGCTTTGGGATTGACTGTCGGCTCAGAATTTAGCACACTGGGAAGCCACTAGGAAAGAGCCCCTGCCCCCAGTGTCAAGTTTTCTTGTCTCTACTTAGAAGCCTAAGAGAAGCTGTCCATCCTGGGAGGGATGTGAGGGCCTGACCCCGCCCAGACCTCTCTTACCTGCAGAAGCTTCATTTGCTTCTCCAGGCTGATAGGTTCAACTTGGGGATACAGCTGCAGCTCACAAAGCCCCGGGGGTAGATATTTGCCTTGAAGATGTCCCTCGAAACAGTGGTGATACCAGTATTGTCACACACGATTCGAGACAAGGAAATCCGTGCCAGGGCCTTGCGCTGTCTCTTGGTGAAAACACCCCATTTCTGCCACCAGAACCTACCAGGAGGTCAAGAGATGTGGGAGAAGGTTGGGGAGGAATTGCCATACAAGCACTTGCCTTGTGTCAGTTACTGTACATACAGTATTTCATTCAATTCCCAAAACCTGCTCCAAGATAGGTATTATTCCCATTTTATAAATGAGGAAATAGTTTCATTGGTTAAATAAGTTGCTCAGTATTAAACGCACAGTAATTTAAATGGCCAGGGTTGAATTTGAAACCAAGCAAATACCACATCCAAATAAGGAGTCAGGTCTCAGGCCACAAGTTTACTGCAGGGAAACCAGATTTAATCCTTTTCTGTCTTACGGATCTGCCAGCCCGGAACAGGGTGAGAAGCCTCTCCTGGGTTTAAGGTGGCTGCAGCTCAGGCAGCGTCAGCCTTGCATGGGTCAGTGTCTCTGTCTCTCAGAACCCAGTTTTCCAGAGAGGACCCTGAAACCAATCTAAAACTCTTCCCCAGGGATTCTTTTTTTTTTTTTTTTTTTAAATTTTAAAGAAAAAGAAACAAAAAACAAAAAGCAAAAAAATAAAATTCCAGAACAATATGACAGGAGTGTAACAATGGTTAATACGTTGCATATTGCTGTCTTTAAATTAATTACTCAGAGTACAAGATACCAGCATTTAATTGTCCAGACAGAAGGATCCTTGAAATGCTAGTGGTTTCCCTCTCTGCTTCTGTACTGATGTCTTTTACAGTGGGATCACTTACCTGTCTCCATCTCGGGCTCTTCTGAACTGGTTCTCAAAGAGACAAGCCAGCAGAGGCCCTACACGGGCCCCCGGTAACAGAGGCTCTGCAATGGCCCCAACCCAGATGTCAATGTTGTCAGGTGTGCCGTATAATTTCAGGAACTTCCTTGCCAAACCACGGTTTTTCATCACTTGGCTAAGCTGTGCCAAGTTCCGGGGCTGGGAAAGCCCACAGAAGCGCCTCCATGCATTATACCCTGCAGAAGACAGAAGCAGCTTCAACCCTACCCATCTCTCATTAGCCAAGTCCTCCAGAGCGCTGCTGTGCCCTGATTTTAAACAGCAACCTGCTGTTTGCTCTGTGGATAGTCAATGTTGGGCCAAACAAGATCCCCACTGGTACAAATACCTACTTGCTGTCCTCTAAAATGTGAGTGGACAAACGGCTTTATGTGCATTGAACTGAGGAGTGTGTCCTAATGTAAAAGGCTGTCATAACCAAAACTCACAGCTTGGCATTTCATGATACTGTTATTGAGCTCATGTGCATTAGTTAGGCACAGTACCCAGAACAACAAAAGCTCTGAATCAGGATTGTGGAATGAATGAATGAATGAGAAAGTAAATAAATGAGTGAACTATCCAATGAATAGACTCATCTACTGAGAAAAGGACCACACACGGTATGGTTCCATTTGTATGAGAAGTCTAGAATAGGCAGATACACAGAAAGTAGATTAGTGGTCACATCCCTGTAATCCTGGCACCCTGGGAGACTGAGGCAGGAGGAGTGTAAGTTCAAGCCAGACCTATGCAATTTAGTGACTTAGTAAGACCCTGTCTTAAGAGAGGAAAGAAGGAAGGAACCTACCAGGATCCAACATCAGGGCCAAAGCCATGTAATACGCTATGGACAACCAAGGGTAGAGTTACCTTGACACAACCTGAAGAAATACCAGCCCTGTGTCACAAACTCCATCCCCCAGCTAAAGAAAGGGAAACCATACAGTGTCTTATTACAAGCTCTGTTGTGTAAAACCTTTGTGAGTACTTTTATAGTAATATATCTGGTATATTTAAAAGTGATTTGCCCAACGTCACTTTTAATGAGTTCAAACCGGGTTGTCCAACCCCAAATTTGGGGTTAGACCTGAGAAGGGATGAGAGGAGTCTGGGAGAGTACTGTTAGGCTTCTTCAGGGATGGCATGGAGGGAAGAAGTGTTGGGAACGGAAGTCGTCCTGTTACATTTAGGGGGCTGGCTGGTGATCTCACCAGCAGGGGGTGTCTACAGCTCCTTAGCTGTCAGGGACCCGTGTTTAAGGAGAAAAGAAACTCAGATTTCCAGAGTGCTGCTGTGCCGGTCAGGTGCTGTGCTGGTGGACTAGGTAGTAGGAAGTCCCCTGACTCCTTTATATGTGGCCAGAGGTTACCCAGGCAGATGGGGCTTCTGTCTAGACAAGCGGGGAAGGAAAGGAGAAAAGGGAATGGCAGTGGCTGACACCTCTCCCCTAATGGTGTTGCCTGGCGTTGAACAGCAGAAAGAAGAGGGAGTCAGTTTCAATTTCAGTTGTTTTACTACTTCCTTCTTGTGTGGCCTTGGGCAGATTACTCTGAGTTTATTTCTTTATGTACAAAGTCACCCTAATATCTGCATCCCAAGGTCATTGGGAGGACTGAATGGGTTGTCCATGAAAGTGCCTACTCTTTTTTCTTTCCTGGGACGGCAGCCATACTTTTACCCCCCTAGCTAGTGGCCTCTAAGGTGCTTTGGGACTCGCAGCAAAGAGCCAGCTTTTATAGGCCTACGGCTTTCACCTTCCTCCCTGGAGCCTGCCAGGGAGGCGGCGAATGGTCTTCCCTGCCTCTCTAGGCAACTCCTTTTCTCCGTTTGGAAAGTCCTGATCTGCTTTGTTTGGCTCCCATGCCCAAGTCCTGGCCCTGTGGTGAAGCTAAAGCTGGAGACCCTACCGTGGTAGGGAAGAAGTGACATGATAGCAAACAAGGGTTCCCAGGGTGCTTTGGGGCAATAGCTCTGGACCACCACACATCGGTCAGAAGGGAGCCCCCCACCCCCCAGTCTTCTCAGAACCCCCTGAGCAGCCCAGCCCGAGCAAAGCCTGGGAGAGAGGTAGGGAGCCCCTCACCTGGAAGGCCGTGGTCCCGGCTGCGTTGCATGTTGAGGGCTGCCAGGTCCAGCCCGATCCTTCTCACTTGCTGAAACAGACGGTCCCGGAGCTCATCCACCAACATGGAATCTTGACGGTTCAGCTTGGCAGGGGTGGCCATGAGGCCTCGCAGGATGGGGTCGATGCCACCTAGTGGCGGGGAATGACAGCAGCATGGATTGGACCAGCCTTGAGCCCCTTGTGTTATCTCATGATACCAAGCTAGCTCAGAGCTGTACACGCCAGCTGCTTGTAGCCTCTACTGTGTGTCTGGACAGAGAAGCCAGAGTGGATGTGAGGGAGCTGAAGTGGGGGGCAGAGGTAACCTCACTTCTTAAAGAAGGAGTGGAAAGCCAGCACTTTACAGGTGTACAAGGAGCCAGTCTGACGCTGGTCTCTGCCCCTCTCAGGAATCCCCTCTTTGCAGGGCAGGGAGGCCCATGCTGGAAGGGCGTGCTCTCCCTGCCTCCTTTGCACGGAGGGGACATCATCAATGGGGTGCTCCCTGGGGGGGCTGCTCCCCACCACATCCCCTTTGTCTCTGGAAAGCCCATCACCTTCGAACACGATTCGCCAGCTGGCAAAGAAGGCAGAGCTGAGCGGGACATGGGAGTTGGGTGCTGAGGCCCGGTACCGGCTGTCCAAGCGGAACATGAAGGGCTGCAGCATGGTGTGGCCGAAGCGGAAGGCCAGGGTAAAGACGTTGGCCACACGCGGGTCCACATTGGAGCAATACCCCCGGTAGGGTCCCAGGGTTCTTCTGGCCCGGGCCTTGCCCAGAACCAGGGGCAGAAAGTCTCGGTAGGTGATGATCTTGGAGAGGAGACACGAAAGATTTTTAGAGGCAGTGGCAATACACTTGCTTCAGACGGACACGCACACTTTCCAAGGATGGTTCAGACTAGGAAGTCTCTCGTCACCTCGAATGTGGCAGTGTTAACTTCTCACTGGGGGATGAGAAGCTGAAGCCCAGAGAAGCTGAGTGCCATGGCCAGAGTGAGTCAGATACGGCAGAACTGGCGCAGAGGTACTTCCCTGGTTATCCAGACCCAGCGGACCTGAGCACGTCCCCAAGCATGCGTCAAGGAGGGTGCGAGCCGCCTGCCCAGGTTGGCTTCTGGGTGATGCTGGGACTCAGGGCTTCCTACCTGGACCATGGCCCCCAGGATCTTCCGGGCTTCGTTGTACAGCTTGTCTCCGCTCCAGTGTGGGTTCAGGCGTCTCAGCTCAGTGGCCAGCCGGTTGTGCTCTCGCATAAAGAGGGTGTGCAGGGCCGCCAGTTTGGGGGTTTCACTTGACCGGGAGTCACCTTGAAAATCCCGAGTTCCAAGTTGGCACAGCCCTTCCTAGGCAGTCTTTCTATGAGGGCAGACCTGGGGAGTGGGGCGGCCCTCACTGCGCCTCCATGTCCTTGGCTGTGCCACGAGACTCACTCGCTGCCACCCTCCCGATACTGCAGCAGCCCTGGACGGGGAGTGCAGTGGAGTCTTGGGTGTCCGAGAGGCTGGAGGAAGTTATAGGTCTAGCGGGGAAATTGTTGCCTAATGACTCTACAAGATGACCTGGAGCAGCTGTGGTGGCGGCACCCGGCTGACTCTGGGAACTTGATTTGGGGAGGGTGGGCCGGCTGGCTGCATATGCTCTACGGAGGGCTGAGCCTTCCCCATCTTTGGATTTGGTGTCATACTCCTCTCCCCCCAGGAGCCAGAGGGAAGGAGTACAAGGGGGAAGGATGAACAGAACTCTTTCTGTACCCAGATCCTCTCCAACAGACAGGCAAGAAAAGTAAGTTTGGTCATCTGGCTTCTCACCAAGCCCTTCTCACAGCCCACGCTCCGGGATACTCTCATGAACAGTACTGGGACTCACCGATGTCTAGTCCTTACCGAGCAAGGCCAGAGCTGCTCGCCTTAAGGAAAGCAGGGGCCAGAGCAGACAGAGCAGAGGGCCTAGAGCTACACTAACTTTGTCCCGATGTGGGCTCTTCCATCTGAAACTCTCTGCGCTCCTCGCACATGTTCCTAAGCTTCCCTGAGTCTCAGCATGTCTGTAAAGTAAGGATGATAGTAATTCCTGTCTTTCAGGGCTGCACTGAGGTTTAGGGATGGCCTGTTCAAATATCTTAAATAATTGGAAATGATTACCATTAGCATTCTATCCACCTGCCTGGGGGTAAAAGACTCTGAGGAGAGTTTACATTACGCATCCAGGAGAAGGTACCAGGTTTCACTGTCTAGCTAGAGTTGGGGGTGGGTAAGAAAAGTGAAGGAGAAAATCTAGGGCAAAGCTGCTTTCAGGTAATTAAAGGGGCTGTGGCTGTGTAAGGAGAGACAGCCTCTGAGGTTCTAGAAGTGTGTCTTAAGATACTGAATCCAAACAAAGGGGCTGCTTCTCAGCCTGGGGATGGTGAGCAGTCCCTCGTCACTACGGATAGTCAAGCAGGGATCTCTGCCCACACACGGGATTGGCAGAGGGAATCCTTGCAACTTACTCGTTCTCTGATGACTATGCCTAGATCAATGCCTATGGTGTGCCTAATCCTGAGGTCCCAAACCACGTCCCTCACCACATCCCACCACGGCTTCCGCATCCCGGGAAGACACTAGCATCCCCCAGGTCTGACCTGCTAGGAAGCAGGGGATGCGTGCAGAACGGTTCGTGAGGAGACAGGGGTCATCATGCAGGTTGTCAAAGGGCAGCAGGGCCCGGCCATTGTCCCGGAAGCGCTGGTTGACAGCCAGCAGCCCCAGGTAGTTGGTCCGGTTGCGGAGCCTCAGGGAAAGAGAGACCTCGCTGCCGTACACCATGCTGGCGTCCAAGAAGGAGGTGAGTGCGTTGATCTGGTTGCGGACCGTGATCCTGTTTTGGGGGCATGACGGTGCCGAGCGGAAGAAGGGGATGCAGTCACACTGGTTCTTGATGCGGGGGTCATTAGGTGGTATCTGAGGTGGAAGAGGAGTCAGTGACTCTGGAGCCCCTCTGCAGCAGTAGACTCACCCCTTTCGGTCATCCCCCAGTTCTCTCAAAAGCTTGCTCAAAAGCCCTCTCTGAGGAAGCCCACCTTGACTCACCTGGACTCATGCTGCTCACCCCTTGGCTCTGGGCACACTTAGCATTTTGTATCATAGAATCACAAAAGGTTAGAAATGGATGAAGCTTTTGAAACAATCTAGAGCCTCATCTTACAGGTGGGGAAACCACTTCTGAGAGGGAACACAGTTGGACAAACATTTCCTAAGCTTGTTTCTTTCTGGGTGCTTTGGAGACTATGGAGGTCAATGGATGCACTGCAGGTATCAGGAAGCTGCCAGTTCGGTACAGACAGACACACGCACACAGAGCTTAGTCACTACGGGCGAAGTGGCATTTTCTGTGCTTGATATAAAAGTCAGATGCTAACATACACTAGGAAGGTCTAGAAGCTCTGCAGAGGAGGGGCTCCTGTGCTTGAGGAAGGGGTGCGGTGGCAATAGGGAGGGGCCAGCCAGGGTCCCCTGCATGCCATCGCTCCTGTGTGTGGACTGGCTCTTGTGGGTGAGTGGATGTATGGCAGTATGTGTCCTCCCTGAAGCCCCAGCAGAGCCTCCACTCCCTGGAGTCTGTCGCTTCTCATCTAGGGTCCAGCACCTGTTTCCAGCAGGACAGCACTCTGCTCACAGCCAACCCTAGAAGGTGGTGAGAGCTGCAGTGACCTTGGACCTCCTCAGGAAGGAGAGAAAGTAAGAGACCCTAAAGGCTTCCAAAAGTAGGGGCCCAGAAGCTCCCTCTGTGAGAATCAGACCTACCAGTCAAGACCTGGCTCCATGGCTTCCCCTCTATGAAGCGCCACCTGAGCTTCTAGCAGATCCTTTCCCTTCCTTAGCATGTGCGGCAAGAGGGTCTGTGCGCAGCTGCATTCTGGGTCTCTGGATTATACCCCTGCTCCACAGATGGCGCCTCAAGATAGCGTCAGTCTCTCCTGTCCCCACCTGTCATGCTCTGCCTAGGCTTGAAGCTACCCTGGGGGCCTGGAAGGGTGGCTGGCTGAGGGTACCTTGATAGGGAAGCAGGGGGGCAGCTGGGCACAGGTCTTCTCACAGTCCACAGTTGCAGTGAAGGCCACTCTGGCTGGGGATTCTGGGGAAAAGTCCAGGTCGTGGTCGATGAACTGGCCCCACTGCATGAACATGAGGGCCCGGCCACGGTCAGAGGTCAGCCTCTTCCTGGGGAAGCGCACAATCTGGTTGGAGACAGCCCGGACCTGTGGGGAAGTAAGGTCAACAGTGGGCCTGGGCCCTGACTTAGTGCTAGAGCCAACCCAAGACTGGGAGGAAGCAGCTCCCCCTGCTGGAGGGGCTGGAGTCTCTCCTCTTCCACCCTCCACTCTATTCTCCTTTGTCCCTGGAGATGCAGCCCGCTCCCACTGTGGCTGTCATTCTTAGAAGGCTGGTCTCTGGCCTGGCTCCTCAGGATCCCAGCAGTAAAGAGGAGAGGGACTGGTATGGCTCACTCAGGCCCCACCAGCTCTTGCAGAGAAGTAAATAGATCAAATTGATAGATTAGTGTGTAGACCAACAAATAATAGGAGTGATTCACAGATGCATGGACTGGTTGCAAGGTGATGGATAACAAACAGAGAACTGGATAGATGGAAGAAGCAAGAGAAGAAAAATAACAAGTAGATATTGTTAGGTAGGTAGATGATTGATCGTTATATTGGCATATACATAGAAAATCGGTAAGTGGGAAATCATATAGATCAATAGGTATAGCCAGATTAAGATGTTTAACTCTTTATATTTAGCAAGATACTTTGACAGTAATCCTCTCAGAAAACAAGCAAGCAAACAAAACAACCCGATACTGTAATGGCTAGCGTTAAGAGATCATGTCCTATGTGGCTATTTAGACCAAGTACTTTGTTTATTATTCATACCAGCTCTATGAGCCATCTGTAGGTAAGGAAACTGACTTAGCTGGTTGGTGGGAGAGTTTGGGGTGGATCTGCCTGGCTGACTCCAGGCTGTGTTTCACCCCCCGTATCTGAAGAAGATCAAGCATCCTGCAGCCCCCTCACCCCAACTCACAAGAGGGAGGAGGAAGCCATTGCGCTTTTTGCCAGGGGTCCAACCAAAGGGGAGCGACCGCCCATCCTCGTACTCTGCTGGCAGCCAGCGAGCCAGGGCCTGGTTGGAGGCCCCCAGCCAGGGTCTCCTCCTACAGCAGGAATGGGTGGGAGTTAGCAGGGTGTGGGGCCTGGAGGGAGAGGTGGGAAGGGAAGGAGGCTCCCTGGGTTGGGGCAGCCCTGGCACCCACTTGTTGTTGCATCTCCCCGTGATGGTGCGGTACTTGTTGCTGCACCTCTCAGCCTGGCCCCGGAGAGCACAGCCACTGGCCTGGGACAGCAGGTGCAGCTGGGGCTCCGTTAGTACATCTGCAGGGCCAGGTGGGCAGGTCTGAGTGCAGGGTTTTACCTCCTTTCTGGCCTGGCCCTTCTCAACCTTTACCATCTTGTTACCCTCTCTCCTCCCAACACCCCACGGCTGTGCACCCCATCTCCCACTCCCGGCTTCCTTCCATGCCCAGGCCAGGTGGAAAGCGTAGTACCGGTGACATTGAAGGGTCTGGGTCCCTGGGGTTGCAGCTTGTCTTCCAGTAGTCCTAAGGCCACATGCATGTAATCAGCAGCTTGAACGACAGTTCTGGTGGCTGCAACGGGTTGCTTGAAGAAGGACAGGAGATCCACAGGACGGGCTGAGCCACTGCGAAGGCGCTGCTTGATGCTGCCCAGAAGAGGAGGCGGGAGGACTGAAGGAAGGGTGCAGACACACCCTCAAAGCCCCAGTGCAGGGAGTGGACAGTCAGGACAGAGTGGACAGACTGCGGTCGCAGAAAAAGGAGGTCCCAAGATGCCCAGGCATTGGTGTTGGGTGAAATGACATTGGTTGGGGCCCATCCGCTCCCAGGCCCTCCCAGGTCAGTGCAGCCCCCGGGCCTGGCCCACCTCTTCTGGGTCTGGTTGTAAGCAGCATCCACCCGCAGCTTGGCCTCCGCTATGCAGTCCTGAAGGACCGAGGTCTCCACCGCCCTAGCGGAGGCTGTTTAAAGGGGTGGGGACTCAGAGTCCAAAGGGGCCACAGACCCCCCAGGTCCAAGTGTTTCCCTCCATTTCCTTTCCCTCAGATCGACCCTCCTCTTTGGCTATCCAAGGGGCTGTTACCTGGGACAGTGCCCTCAGAGGGCTGGGTGAGGACAAGTGTGGCTAGGACTCCTTCCAGGACCAGGAGCAGCTGCATGTCTGCAGTGAGACTCCAGCTCCACAGATGTGTCCCCTAAAACCTTCCAGAAGGTCCCCAGCTGACCACTCACCTCTTCCTGCTTCTGTCTGGAAGCAGCTGGGAAGGGACTTTTATATTCCCCCCTGGCAGGGGAGGGCTGCTCTGGGCCCCAGAAACCCAACCCCTGAGGCGGAGCTCTGGGACAGCCCTCTGGTCTTCAGGGCAGTTGAGAGATGGAGACACCTCACCCCACAAACCCTGGACCCTTACCAGCCTGGGGACGTTCATCTCCCCCACCCTCTTGCTTCATCCCCACCTGTCGTAGTTTGGGGTTTGCAAGGGGAACAGTATAATACAGGACACATATTTTATTAGATTATTTATAATAGTCACCCAAAGAATCGCATACAAAAAGAGAGTGCAGGAAATCTGTCCATATACTAAAGACCAAAGAATCCAGCTGAGGGCCTGGATCCCACACTAATGTCCTGCATGAGTCCAGCTGAGGACCTAGAGTCCATAACAGTGCCTCCCACGAGTCCAACTGGAGGCCTAGAGCCCCCGGCAATGTCTCATGCAGGCATGTTTCACGGACCTGCACTAGGAAGGCCCAAAAGTCAGTGGTGGAATCTAGAAAGTCTGTGCCAGCGGGATGAAGGATCTGTGCTAACAGGCTGAGGGATCTGCACTGGAGCCAGGAAGCGACACTCAAAGAACCAGAGCTCCCCTCAAAAGTATCACAGCCATTCTCAGCAACAGTGAGGTCCTGAGCTCCTCCGATAATGAGGTAAGTCAAGCTCCCATCAGGAAAGCCAACGTGACAGCTTCTCCAGGAGACTGAGCAGTGCTCCATCTTCCCCTCCGGAGCCAGGAAGCAATGCTCAAAGTGGGGACCAGAGCTCCCCCAGTGTGAATCGTAGCCATCCTCAGTGACAACGAGGCTCTGAGCTCCTCCACCGGGAACAGCCAGGTTCATCAGGAAAGCCAGCATGACAAGGTCCTCCAGCAGAATAGCCCAAGAGAACCACAGCTCCCTAACAGCTTCCCAGACAGCTTCTACCAGCTCCTGACAGCCACTCCGGTTCTGCCTCTTATGCTGCCAACAACAGTCCCCAGGTGGGACACACACACCCAGCACCACGCTGGTTCAGTTGAGCTGGGTGTTACAAGTTGACCACCAGTTGTCAATCCACCACACCACCCTCCACCACTGAGTCCACGGATGTGTTTCTCCCAGGGCCCAAAGCAGCACTCAGGACACAGGTGCCCTCTGATGAGTGCTTGTGGGATGACTGGGGAGCAGCGTACCTCAGAACAGGATTGGGTTTGGCCCCATCCCTCACTAACTACATGCCTGGGCCTCTGTTTCCACATCCCTAAAGTGGGAGTTGGATCAGATGATTGGTAAGGCTCTTCTTCCTTACCAGCCAGAAACTGGGTCTGCCCAGTGTAAGACTTGCGTTCAGTAAGTGCTCAGTAAATGTTTGTCAAGTGAATGAACAATCTATGGTCAATGATTTGCCTGTTCCCTTGATCTCCTCAGCTCCTTCTCACATGCCAAAGACAGATGAAGATCCTGGCAGTGAAATACCTCACCGGTAAAACCTCAGCAGAGCCTGACAGCGGAAGTCCCACAGAGCTTTATGCTCCTCCTGTGGGCTTGGCTGGAGGTCGCTCGCTGCAGTGGGCTCAGACTGAGCTGGGTTTTGATTCAGGTATGTCTGTACCAGTGTGACCCTGAGGAAGCCCCGTTTCCACATCTTCCACGTAGGATGCACCCCAGTCAATCCATGCCCAGGCCCACCTTTCTCACACCTGCCTCCTCCTGCCCTGTCCTCACTGGGACTGCCCAAGGCCCTATCCCGGCCTGTCTGGAAGGCACCGCTCATCTCTGCAGCCCACCCACTGCTGTGCCCGCGCTGCCCATCCCCACATGGCCTGTCCCCACCCCTCTTCTGGTGGGTATATCCTTTCCTCCCTGGTGCAGACCATTTCTGTTCAAGAGCCCCGCAGGGCTGTTCCCATCATCCCGTCCCCTGCCTGAATCCCCGCCCGCCCCGCCCCCCAGCCTGCCAGCACCCTCCTCTGCCCCTCCTCCCTCAGCAATGCCACCAGCCCGACAGTTGCTCTCCACAGTTGCCACTTTGCTTTGGCAACCCTTCCACAAGCTCTCGTTGATGGCCAGGCCACCTGATCTTATCTCTTGTCTTCAGCAGAGGCCCCCGCCCTGTGACAAGGGGGCTGGAGGAGAGTCACTCTGTAGGTGGTGAAAGTGTACCGAGTTCCTTGCTGACTCACTGTGTGACTCTGGGTCAGTCCCACCTCCTCTGGGGCTCTGTTTCCAAGGCTGTAGGGTGGGATCCTCATGAGAGAGAGAGAGATTTTTTAAATGGCAGCAAGCCCCTCGACAGTGCTTGATCTGCCCTGGCCTCCGGAGGCTGGATGCTCCAGCTTGGAGCCAGCTGAGGTATATGTGGCCCTGGTCACCCCCTTTTCAGGGTCCCCGCGCTCAGAGTGAGCCCTACTGTCCACCACAGGGGCCTCGGCTTCTTCAGCAATATGAGCTGTGAAAGATTCTGCTACAGCTGGGGGCTGTCATGGGTTATAGGCACCATAGCCCGAGACAGAACCCTGGGCTCTAGACCCAGCCGTCCCTGCCACATTGGCCCATGTCTTAGGGATCTGAGCCTCCTGGTTGCTTGGGGTGTGCTGAGAGGCACGCAGATGGGAAGGGAGCATAGAACAGCTCTGCACAGCCAGACTGGAGGTCGTATCCTGGGGCACTGCTGGGGCTGGGCCCACGCTTCTGCAGAGGCTCAAAACAAAGACTCTTGAGGCCCGGGGGACTGGACGCTGCTCGTCCTACGCTCTGCCGCCCTCCCGAGTGACCCTGCCCCTCGGGCCTGACATCCCACCCCTTCACCTACAAGACCCAGCCTTTTCTCCCGGCTCCCTCCGGGAAGCCATCTCTGACCTGCCCCACAGATGAGGCTAGACACTAAGCCAGGCAGTCGCGCTCAGGAGCCTGGCCCTGATCCCAGCGTCGCTAGTTCCCAGCCTCGAGGCCACCTCCTCACTGGTGGCAGAGGGCTGTCCTGTCCACTGGGAGAACTGTTGGGAGAATGAATGTGAAACGCCGCCACAGCGGCTGACACACAGCAGGCAGACAGCAGCGCTGTAGAATAAGCCTTGTTGTCTCCTTGTAAGCTCCCTCCAGGCTGTCCCTGAGGGGCAGCCACTGCAGTCAGCCTGAAGGAGAGGGCAGTGGGCTCAGAGCCTTCTTGGCTGGGTGCCTGGAAGGGAGGCTTCCAAAGAAGACCATGGGGCCTCTGGCTCTGTGGGCCCAGGACCTGAAAATCGAGAGAAAGGACAGAGGCGGGGACCCTCCAGCCTGGGCACCTGCCGCAGCCCTCACAGGGAGCAGGCCCAGTGGGTGGCATCCTCTCATGCTTCATGCCTTTGACATCTGTGTGGTGGGGGCAATGACACACAAGGACCAGAAGAAGTGTGTGAGCAAGACATGCACCTTCACTTTCCTTTCCCCACAGACTTTTTCTCGGGCCCCCTGGGACCTCACTGGCGAGATTTTCCTTAGGGCTAAATTTTGCTCATGGCAATCAAGAGTATCAGATTTTTTTCTCCCAGTACCGGGGATGAAACCCAGGACCTCACACTTGCTTGGCAAGTCCTCTATCACAGAGCTGTGTTTTCCAGCACCACTCTATTTTTTAACTCATTGTTTTCCTATGTAGTGTAGGCTGACTGCAAGCTTGAATACTCCTGCCTCAGCCTCCTGAGTAGCTGGGATGCTACAGGTTTGTACTGCCTGGCCTTGGTTCGGGTTACTCTTTGATGCACCTCTCCTCTACATCCCAAAACATTTTTAATGATACTCATTAAATGAAACGAGTAATAATAATGACCAGTAGAAGTTCTTTTTTATAGAACTTAGTATACAAAATCATACCAGTAAAGAAATAAAAATAAAATGATACTATATAAAAGGAAAAGAACAATTGACTAACACTTTTTAAATTGCATGAATGAGGCCAGCACTTGGGAGGCTGAGGCAGGAGGATTGCCGCAAGTTCAAGGCTAGCCTCAGCTACATAGTGAGTTCAAACCCAGCCTGAACTACACAGCAAGACCCTGTCTCAAAAAAAAAAAAAAAAAAAATTGCATGAATGCATTTTAAATAACCCATATATTGGTAGTTTAACCATTGTCAACATATTAGCCATTTCTGTTTTCCTGATTCATTCTTTAGTTTTAAAATGAACCATTAAAATATTAAAATGAAGAGTAAGTTCAACCTCCAAGATATGAATAAAGTTCAGTAAAATATTTCATATGTGAAATAAAATTCACATCTCAAAGTACTTCACAGTTGGCACAGTCTGCACTTGTTTTAAATTTCAAACACAAAACTCAAGTGGTCATATGGGACTGAAGAAATACAGAACTGAACAAATAGGGTCCTGTCTCTTTGTCTTTACATTCGCCATGCTACCATAGTTTATATCAAGTCAACTACTTAAAGGCAGGAACATTGTTTAAAGACAAGGCATTACACCAAATGCTCAGCTCATTCTGAACTATCAGCACTTATGTGAAGCGAAGGCACCTACTTATGGAACCACCGATTTACTGGAAATTTTCTTAATTAGCTTCCACATAGGGCACAGTGTTTAGTAAAGAATACGAAATTAAAACGCACTAACTCGAAGCTTATGCGCTTTACTACAGCTCACGGACAACTGCAGTGACTGTTTAGACTATAGACCAGCGCCAGATGTCTTCAGGGAGGAGAGATTACCACTGATATTGTTTAGAATTGCTGCTGTGTGGTCTTAGTAAATGATCTGAATCAGCTCCCCTTATTTTCTGCATGAGAAGGGACAGCTTCTCTTGCTCTGTCCTTGGTACTGGTGTTTCGCCGCTTCTTAATTGTTAAATGACAAGCCAGGAGGCTTCCAAGTCCTTCTACCACCTCTGCGTCTCCTTACACTGTGGGCCCCTGGGGAGAGGGAGGTGGGCAGCACTGGGCTTGGGGCCCCTAGAGCGGGGAAGGGGCTG